ACCGACAACAACACCCAACAACCGACAACAACACCCAACAACCGACAACAACCGACAACAACAACCTACAACAACCAACAACACCTGACAACAACCGACAACAACCAACAACGCCCAACAACAACCAACAACAACCAACAACAACCAACAATAACCAACAACAACCGACAACAACCGACAACAACATCCAACAGCCAACAACAACCGACAACAATCAACAATAAGAACCAACAACCGACAGCAACAACTATTAACAACATCAACAACGACGACGATAACGACGACAACAACCGACAACAACATCAACAACGACGACGATAACGACGACAACAACCGACAACAACATCAACAACAACCAAAAACAACCAACAGCAAACGACAACAACCGACAACAACCGACAGCAACAGCCACCAACAAAATCAACAACGACGACAATAACGACGACAACAACCGACAACAACATCAACAATGACGACGACGATAACGACGACAACCACAACAGTGTCCGGTAATGTGTGGTAGAGAATGGCAGTCAGCCAGACTGAGTACAGTTGAACATGTGTAATAATAATAACACATTTCGCGTAGTTGAGCACTAAATAAAGAAATTCAGTGTTTTTCCCACTTCTGTCTTGTGAGCATCATCAGCAAGGTGTAGTAGCTGCTGATACTGATTTGTCCTCGAGTGTCGAGCTGCACAGTTTCTTCCAGTCTGTCTTGTCCTCTGCTTGTTGCCGGCACCTGGAAAGGTCTTCCATGGTCTTCATGGGCACACCCAGCTTATTCAACTGAGCGAGCAGACTTGTGGCTAGTGACAACCTTGGCCACCCACGGGGTGCTTTGTTGCCCTTGTCCAAAGAGCCGCTCATGGCTACTTAGGGTGGCGTGTCCGTATCCGTCTGTAGCACATGACTGGTCATTCTTAGTCGCCTACATGCAGCTGTGTCATGTATTACTACAAGAACTCAACCAAGTCCTCTGCAGTCATGGAGTAGCGGCAGGTTGGGCAAGTTGGGCTGGGGGCAGAACTGATCCACTCCTTGATACAGTGGAAGTGAAATTCATGACCACACTCCAATTTGGATAGAGGACGATCCAGGGCATCCTGACAAATCACACAACTGGACTCATGACTTATTGCTGACGAGTCTGCCTTAGTAGGCACTACATTAATATACTGCAGCTCCATGGGGTGTATTGCCTGGTCTTGATGGTGGTCACCGTAATACACCCCGTTGAGGTACCACTGATAGACACCCTCCTCCTCCTGAGAGATGAAAGCAGGTCCATCTTCCCTATGCCAAAGGTTGTATCGGTACCACTCCCGTACACGATTGTTACCTTCCCTGTGTATAACCGCTGGCGCATTCTCCCTGTGGAGCCTTCCTTGGTGATACCACCGTAGAATACAGCATGTGGCGTCACAATAACTGACTGCAGGACCGCCGGCTCTATGACGGGCACCGTTGAGGTAGTACTCGATGCTACCCCGTCCTATCCAAGCCCGTTCATTAACGCGATGAAGGCGACCTTCATAGCACCAGGCGGACACTCCCCTACTATCAACAAGAGCTGGTCCGTCCTCCCGATGGAGTCTACCATCGACGTGCTAAATTTCTTGCTGCGCGTTTTGATCTGCCACCTCCACAACAGTTCTTATTGGCGTCCGCCTTTCTATTAGTAAAGGACCCGTGGTGAGAGACCACGACCGGTCGTCCAAGTCTACACCGAATGTATCAGCCATATCTATTTACTGAGAATAATGTAACAACTCCTCCACAAACGCTTCTACAACTGACGTCTTCTTTATCCTGGTTTTTTCCTCTTGGTGGTTTTGGATAAGAGTTGAAAAGTCCAAAAGGTCAACTGATGACCTTTGCGTTACTTGGTATGATTGGGTTTTAGCGGATGATGTCGGTATGCAGCTGGGGAGCGAATTCGACAGGAAGAAGGTAAAAGGTCTTGCTTTGCGGTTCACACCTTCACTTCAGTATCATTACAGTCCAAATGGCTTTCACTTGTCACTGTAGCGTTCGAATGTCAGGGGTAATACCCCTGTTTCAGCACCTGAGGCGGTGCGTCAAGCGCCGCCTCTTTCTCATCATATATTGTGACAAATGGTAAGTGTGCAGTGCTCCTAGCTCTCTCCCCCAACAAAAGAGCTCTATGACACTGTGCTTTCTGTGGTTTCTTTCGTTTTTTTACAGTGGAGAAAGGCTGGTGGGAGGCCCAGCCGTGGTCGCCCACCTGGCGGGTGCGGCCCATCTAACCCGTTACTGGGAGGGTCGCCAGGTCGGGCTGCTGTTGCAGTCCGACTACCGGGACGCCTTGGAGCGTATTAGGACCCTGTAAGTAAGCACTGCTCTGTCTACATGTATATTTACCCCCCCCCCTCGTTATAGCGATACTTACTTGTTTCGTATCCTCTTGTCTTACCCTGCTTTCGTATTCGTGACACTAATAGTGTTTGTGTGCGCTCATGTTTGGTTTTACAGATGATGATGTATGAAGGTCTGGAGCTGCCGTCTTCGGGATGTGCCATTTGTTTCAAAATTATTTGTAAGTACTTGTAACAGGCGTAGTGTAGTAACTGTGTGTGTAGTGTAGTAACAGTGTGTAGTGTTTTGTGATGGTCCTGTGCTATAGCAGTCGTAATGTGTTTTGTGATGGTCCTGTGCAGTCGTAATGTGTTGGGCTACTGCAGTACACTGCATGAAGGGGTATGTGTGGGTGCTTCGACACATTCTCGTGCTTCCTAAACCCTAGATATGTGTATAGCACTATAACCTAGATGTGTGTGTGTGTGTGTGTGCCCGCGCATGCGTGCGTGTGCGTGCATTGTGTTCTCTTCTACAGACTCATCCAAGTCCATTTAAATAAAAGTGCATTATAGTAAACAGTATTGTGTTTTGTTACAGTGAATATGTGGGGAATGGTGGATATGCCTTAGTGTGACTGGATACCTGCGGGTTGTGACTCTTTGCTGGTCACTCTGGATTCTCCAGTAAAGATTCGGTGCAGTGCAGAGGGGATTTGCGGTGCGTAGCAACACTGCTTCACTGTGACACCCCTTCAATAATTGTTTTGATGCATGATACCGCGGGCGGAGCCGGTTGATTCTAACTGTATCCTGATCAAAATAGAAATTTGCATCTAATGGACCTGCATGGACAGTAGGCATTTCCCTAATCGGCCGGGCGAAAAATTCGCCGAAAACAGTGGTTTTGAAGAAATTACCCATCTTTTCGCCGAATTTTCAAAAATTCGCATGTTGAATTCGCCGAAAACCGATGCTTCAGTGCTTCAACAGGGTGTATGTAAAAAATGTACATGACGTAATGGGAACGGTGACTTCAAGTACTATGTTGAGCCGAATTCTGATCTTGGAGCTCATAATATGGCCGAATTTGAACATTCTCTTAAGGGCATGCTCTGTATGGGCAACTTGTCAGTGCACATCTACGATGTGTGAATAAAACGAGTGCAAGGAAAGTGAACTTGTTGCTGCACATCTACGAAGTGCGAATCAGGGAGTAGTATAATGACACGTGTACTAGTACACCTTGTGTTGCACTGCGTCTTTTCCACACGCATAGGACCACTGAAGGTCACACGCTCCGCGTGCGTATGCACGCATGCGCAATATGTCACTGCATGCAATGCACATCTACGATGTGCAAATCAGGGAATAGTACGTATTTTACTACTCCCCGGTGCGAATGCACCGAACGTGCACGTTCGCCACGGAAAAGAACCTTTATGGCACATTTATGGCATGCCAGGGGTCAAAGGTCAAACTCTGGGGGGTCCCGGGGCCAGACCAAGCACGACCGACACAGTGTGCCTTATTTGGCCCAAAGGTCAAAGGTCAAAAAGTGGGCCAGAACCCGCCCCGCACTTACTACTAACGAGAGCCTTTAGCTTAGTTCCATCTCTAGTCGGCTGGTGCATTCAGAAGCGCAGTACTGCAGTAGCGCTTCGGCATGACGATACAAGCCAAATCAAAAAAAAACTCTAGCCAAAAATACTAGCTCAGTGTTCGTCAGGCAAAACGCGAAATTCGAAAGTCTCAAACTCAAATGGTCGGGAAGTCAGAGTGAGAATTCTAGAAGGTCCACTTGCCCCGTCTCGAACCCAGACAATCTTTGACTCTTCGTGCAAGTCATCTATAATAATCGATGAATAGAACAAAGATAAGTGGTTCTTGAGCTACAAGTACAAGTACAGCTGTAGTTCAATTTAGAAATTTTAGTTGTAATGTTACAGTGCCCGGAGTGCTTAGCACTTATATCAGCTAGCGCTTAGCGCTCAGGACTCACGATCACACAGGCCAGGACTCAGGAGTCAGGCCACACAGCGCTAGCGCTAGCGCTAGCGTGCTAATGTCAGTAATGATTATGTAGACGGACACATGGGCCCATATGCCATGGCCTATGGCCCAGTATGGGCCATGGCCGGCCTTACACTTGCTAATACTAGTACTACTAGTCTATGTAGACTATGGTATGGCCCATCGTCCATCGACTGAGATTTTCCAGGATTACGTCAGTTTGGCAAGGAATTGCCATGGATACGATCTCGTACGATCATTCAAATAATTTTTAATTCAAATTCTTGTACTGCAGTACTGGGGGGGGGGGGGGGGGGGGGGGGGGGGGGGGGTGCCAACAACAAAACATTTTGAGTTTCTTCAGTACGAAGGAAGAAGGGTGAAATGGCGTATTGAGATCGATCGAAAGCGGAAGCCCCATCCTGAAACGCTTAGCTTCGCTGGCTTGCAGCCCTGGTCCAGCGCATCCTGTGGGATAAAGTTTGAGCTGTTAGTGTTCCTCTCATCGGTAGCTTTCCCGGATGCCAAAGATCCTGACTCGGAATTGTCCAAGGGAAACTGAAATTGCGTCCATTGAAGCAGGTAAAATAATTTGAGACGGTGCAATTCTCTGGCTTTGCGCCATATTGCAACTCCCCAGATGTGCACAACTGACAGACACAAACGAGCTCACAAGCCACCGTCATCGCCAAAACACTTGCAACTGGATTGGTGACAGGTTAGGTGAACTAAAAATAATAATAATTACCAGAGGGTATAATTATTATAAACAGAGCGAAATGGTGGTGAATGTCACGCAGTAAATAATACTAGTAATAACATTAATTCACAGTGATACAGGGAGCGAGAGCACACATAGCCCGTATTGTAGGCTGTACAGCGGCCGCCTAGTCAGCATGCTGTTGGTACAGTGGCCAGGCGACATGTCTGAACGGCGGACAAGGTTTCTGGCTTCTTTAGCCGATCTAGATTTACTGACTGAGGCAGGGTGGCAAGAGAGAAGGAAAGAGAGCAGGCAACATCACAGATTGGGAAGTAAAGTCATTGAAGTGATACTTGTCTAAAAAAGTGCACGCACCACACATCGTAGATACCTCGGGCTTCGTGAATCTAACACAGGATAGCAATACAGAGTAACTAGTTACTGTAGCGTTGTGCCGCATTGGTGACACATCACAGACAATTACACACCTAGGAAAATACCGTGATGATGATGAGCTGTGTTCTACATAAGAACCAGTCCTACAACTAAGAATAGCTATAAAGCCCCAGGAGCATATGCATGAACGGGGCTCTTAGACGAATATTGTCACAGGGAGTAGGAATCAGACAGGCATTTCTGACTCACGATGATACCAGGAATTCTTGAAGAGTGAGTGTCCTTGCAGGCCACTTGTACAGTGCAGTGGAACTAGTTGCAATTTGCGACAGTGCTGGCTAGTAGAGGCAGGTGGCAGTGCAGGATAGCAGAGACAGATGGTTGAACTATAGCTTCTGGATATGCATTGTGCACTGTTGGAAGTTAGTTGGAAGCTTTATTTGCATTGTTCTGCATCAGCCGATGGAGAATTATGCGGCTAGTCGAGGAGGTCCTGGGTGGTCCGTACCTGCTGCTGCGGTTTTGTTCGCCCACGGGTAGTTGCAGTTGATAAGGTTGACTGGTTGACTGCCGGGTTGCGTTGTAGCTGACAGTGTTGCGTGGCTTGTGCTCTGAGCTGGCTGTGATAAACTAGTTATGCTGTTGGCTTGTGTCGGGCGTTGAGCTTGGTATTAGGGTTATTGTCAGACACTGGGTACACAAGGGTTGTAGCACCCTGGTAGCCTTGGTGGGCGGATTGGCTAAGGGTGGGACACACGGTTGACTTCTGGCATAGGGTTTTGCGTGCAGGCATATGTCCCAGCTGATGGGGACACCATGTGCAGAGGAGAAGTTGCCACTGGTATAGCTGCTGGTGA